TATAGTCTGAGACTTGTGTCACTTTAGTCTCTGACTTTTCAATTGTGACACATTTAATCCGGAATTTTGAATCTTATTTCAAATAAAGACAATTGAAGATACCATTACTCAATTTGAAGGGCAAAGTCGTCAATTTGATAAAATATGAACTAATTTGACAAAATAAATATCAAAAAAATATTTTTGAATTTTTAAAGATTATTTCTATTTACCAAAGATAAAATTATGTAAAATTGATAAACCTTTTACACATTTATTTATTTTTTTACCAAATTAATTTTTATTTCGTGTTTGGATGATGATCATGTAATGGGTGGTTATTTTTATTTTTATTAAATTAGTTTCTATTTTTCAAAAGTCAAATATGACAATAACTTTAATATCATTATTAAACCAATCCATTAAATCAAAAAATTCAAAACTAAAAACATTTCATACAAATATATCGATTACATTAAAAGCCTAGCAAGCACCCATTACATGATCATCATCCAAACACATAATAAAAATTAATTTGGTAAAAAAATAAATAAATGTGTAAAAGATTTATCAATTTTACATAATTTTATCTTTGGTAAATAGAAATTATTTTTAAAAATTCAAAAATATTTTTTTGACATTTATTTTTATCAAATTAGTTTATATTTTATCAAATTGACGACTTTGCCCTTCAAATTGAGTAATGGTATCTTCAATTGTCTTTATTTGAAATAAGATTCAAAATTCCGGATTAAATGTGTCACAATTGAAAAGTCAGAGACTAAAGTGACACAAGTCTCAGACTATAGGGACTGTTAGTGTAATTCGCCCATTTTTAGATCAACTTTCTAGACTGAGTGATGTGTGAAGAAGATGATTCGTTGATAATTAGAGAATATTTTTATCAAACAATCATGTTATTGACACATGGGTTTAGAAAGTGGGTCTAACTTTTGAACCTAAATAGCAATGCTCAGTTTTTAAAAATTATTCTACCTTCCAAAAAGATAAAACCATGTGAAAATGATGAGTATTTTTTATTTTTTCTTTTTAATACCAAATTAGTTTTTAATTTTTTAAGCAATTTTTAAAAAAATTAATTTTGAAAATCAAACCAAACCAAATCTTAAATCCCATCAAATGAGATTGGCTAAATCAAACCAAATATAAAATTTCCAAACTTTCTTAAAATAAGGTTTTGTCATCCCCTTTTAAAGAAAAATTGTCATAACCATAATTTGGCTAAATGTGATACTTCTCATTTTATTTTATTTTATTTTGGTTTTTCGAGTCCATGTTAACAAATATTACTTGTTTTCATGCCTTGTTTTGCACATTTTTTAATTTTTAAAATTTTTTGGGTTCATTCTTCATAAACAATAGAAGCATAATTTGACAATTAATTAATTAAGATATTGTAGCATGATTTTTGGATCTAAACATGAAGATTTGATCGCTTTTACAGTAAGGTATTAGATTGTCAAGTTGAAGTTGTTGTACCAACCAAAATTTATTATATAATAGAAAATGCATTAATTCCATCCCAATCATTGCTTAGGCCCCCTTCATCTTTGAATATTAATCCTTCTAACCCTTTTGATAAAGCCCTAACACCCTCCTATTTAATTTAAGGGTACACCACCCTTTTAAACTTTTCTTCCCATCCACCCATATATCATAGCCATAGTCTCAAACATGTTTGAGAGGTTAGATGTATGGAGAAAATTTATAAGATATATATTTGGATTCACCTTTTAAGTAATTAATGGAGCTAAGAATTTTTGTACTCCATTAGAATATGGGGAGTTGGTTCTCCTCACCTAGTGATCACCTATGTGTTGGTCTTTCTCCTTATATTTGTTAGAATTTTCTTATAATTATTGTATTTTTGTGATTATTTGTTGAACTTTTTTTCATAGTTTAATGAGGTTTGAAATATATATATATATATATATATATAATCACCCTTTATATAAACCTACTCTACTTTTTTCACGTATTCAATTTGCTCTTGGTTCTTGTTAATTGAGATGATATGTCCTCAAATCATAATTTTTTGAACATAAAATCAAACATTAAAAATGCATGTGGAATAATGGGAGAGGAGTAATATTTTTAGTGACAAACTCATTGTCTGATGTGTCTGACCACTGTTAATTTAAGTGATCAATTCTATAATTAATTTGACGCTAATAGATTTCTTAATGAAAAAAGAGAAAAATTACAGATTTAGTGTCACTATTAGCTTCATGTTTAAGATCTCAAACCCCTATCACTTTCCCATGCATGCAATAAGTGAAGGGACAACCTTTGTTCTGCAGCAATACTCATCTCTCTCTCTCTAGGTAAATCTCAATTATATGCCTTTCGTGGCCTGACACTATACCTTATTATTAAACAACTTTTTTTTTTTTTTTTGGTTAATAGAAAAAATCAAGAGAGAACTACATGCTGGTAGGAGAAAAAAAAAATTACCAGCGAGGGGATGTAAGTGACATTTGCATCTCTATAATCTTTTATTTGTATCTCACTACAGACACACTTGCATCCTCATGTGTTGGTAATTTTTTTATTCTTCTCCCACTTGCATGTAATTCTCCCAAAAATCAAACCTCATCTTACCCAATCTTAATGTAAATTTTGCAGAATTTAGGTTCATGATGTTAACGAAAAAGCAAATTTATAAAGTACTTATTAACTGGTGATGTGGGTGTACTATCCCACATCGCTTTGTAAGAAATCACAATTTCATTATATAAATGGACTAACTTCCTTAAATTAATATGAGACCTTCTAAAACCGTGAGGGGTTAGCTGTTGGTTTTCGCCTAACTCCAAAACGTACAATATCGTGTTGGTTTATCTAAAAACCTCAATCGACACCAACGGATAACTAATTCAACATGGCATGTTCTTCTTTGTTGTCTTATGTTTTGTTGCTGTTTGTTTGCGTCACAGATATATACATTCGGGTTTGGTTTATCTGAAACCCACAACCAACCAAGATATATAGTAACCTATTCAACGTTGCACAAACAATTTGTATAATTGTACATGCATATATATAGTATAAATAAATTCAGATTGAATTTTTCATCGTAACTTAAATTTTTGATTTGAGGTTCCATGACATGAACCGCCATTACCAAAGCATTCATGAATTTCTATGTTTTTGGTACAATTTTGGTCTTGGTCCTCAAAATCATTTTTTTTCATAAAATTTGCATAAAAATATCCCTCTTCTTTAGATTTTTTTTAAATCATTAAAAAAAGTTCTACATAACTAGAAAACCGTCTAAAAAATAACTCAAACAATGAATCCCACCTTTATTTATATGTTTTTTTTATCTTCTTCACGCATGTTTTGTTTGTGTTTAATTTTTTTTTTCTTCTTTTAATTAATAGTATGAACCTTATAATTTGACATGGATTTTTTTTTTTTTTTAAAGAAAAAAAACCTCTTTTTCATACAAACCCAATCGAGTCCTAAGTGCCGAATTGGTTCATTGACATGAAAGCTTGATTAGGAGGTTAGGTTGGAAATTTGTGGTTAAACCAAGGGCACTTTACAAATAACAATAAGGTCACTTTATTTAAGGCCATGAATGAGAACTAGTGAGCTGTGACTTTGCTGGGGTTAGGGTTGGAGACCTGAGTGGATGGAGAATAGAAAGAAATAATATGACTTAATGATTAATAATAATGGTATATATGGACCCACACCAAACTCAGCCCCTCCCTAATTAGTAAGTGTTTGACATTTCTTAAAAAAAAATAAAAAGTCAAAAAGTCATTAAAAAAAGTAAAAAAGTTAACACTATTCACATGTTTGGGCTGAAAAAAAAAAAGAATGAATAGATAGAGGATAAAAAGACAAAAATGTCCTTGGTTTTGCCCCCTTCCAACAGTGCACTGACGCGGAAAAACACTGACATGCATGGAAAGCATGTCAGTGCTCAGAAGGGTAGGAAGGTAATTTTGCTAGTTGATACAATATTATAATATGTATTTTTTCGTAAAAAGTTAAAAAGTTATCCCAAACATATATATATTTTTTCTCTATTTTTTTAGTCAAAAAGTTAGAAAGTGCACTTATATAATTCATTTCAAACAACTCCTAAGTCCGAAACAAAAATTTAAAACAAATTATGTATTTATTTATTATACCAAGCATTTTTCAAGGTCATATAAAGTTGTCAATCAATTAGCATCGGCCGGCGAGAGGTAAGGTTGTAACTTAGATGGGTTTAATTGGATTGAGAATTTGTTCAAGTTTAGTTTAAATAGTAGAGAAATCCACTTAAGTTCAACCCTAATGAATCTTTGCAGCTTGAATTGACTTGCTCTAAGGCCACCCAAGTTTATCTTAGAAAATGCAGACCAGTTACAATAAAATTGTTTGAATTTTATATTAAAAAATATATATATACATATATATTTTGAGTTGAGCAATGAGCTTTCTAAATAAAGTTATTGCACTTTCGAAAAATAAATTACAAGAAATAACGCAACAAATTACAAGCAGTAGAATTAATTAACATTGAAGTACTATTTAATTCAATGGTGAAAAAATAATTGATTTTTTATATGTATATGCATGTTTATTATATGTACTAAGAATAGGATTCAATTAACTTAAGTTGTGGCAATTTTTCTCAAGTCAAAGACCAAATTCGAACCAAATTCAATTTACATTGGCAAATTTTAGCCTTGGGTCATTCAAAAATATATTGAACAAACTTCAAATCTTGTGAGATCATCAGTTGCTCTAGTTGGGCCCCTATGAGTTTTTTAAAAATAATTACTACTAAATAAAATAAAATAAAATAAAAATGACTTGTCAACATCATTTGTTCTGATTCAAAAAATTTCCCAAACTCTTGGTTTGGAATCTAATGTTTCAAAGGTTGAATGCGGTTGAGCCCAACTAGAGTTGATCTGATATCTTCTTGTTTCATGTACACGTCATTCACATGACCTGATATTCTTTAAGGCTGTATTTGGAATCATGTACATGTCCAATTGTGTGCTTGAATGATGGTGAACCCAAGTCCATGTTTATCATAACTGTGAAAGTACAACAGTTGACTGCTATACAAATGAGTTTGATGTCATCAAACACAAGAAGTTGAAAACATATTATCCTCTACTGCTAATTCTCATACATGTTGTATCATTCAACAGGTAGAATCGAATGCAGAACCCACACAAACCCTCTAAAACTGAAAGAAACAGAGCTTGACAAAGTTGTAATGGTTGAGGCGTAATCAGTACAGGGATAACTTGGCAAGGGTTAGGGCTAAAACCTGGACTCCGTTTGCTATATCCTCAATGGAGGAAAATTCTTCCGGCTTATGGCTGTATCCTGCAAAATCAGATGTAAAAATGTTGATTTAGTTTGTGTTTGAATCCCAAACTTTGTGAAGTTGCTGCCAATTAAATATGATTTCACATTGTCATCTATGATTTCAGTGTGAATCTCTATGGCTAGCATGATTAATTTCCATATATGCACAGATACAATCTGGCAATGAATTCAAATATGTTTCAGTTAGAGTTGAAAAGAAAAAATGACAGAAAAATAACCATCCGATTCACAGAAATAAAAAGGAAGAGAGAGAGAGAGAGAGAGAGAGAGAGATGACTTGTGCGTACCTTTGTAACATGGAATGAAGATCATTCCCATTGGCGTTATTCTGCAAGGATGTGAAATTGCGTGATCAACAGCTGATATTTGATTAAGAAAACTGATATATGCTAAAGCATTTATCAATATTAATAAATCTACTTTGATACAATAATCACAACAATAGTACACTAAGTGCAACTTAAATTGAAATTTCAAAACCAAAGACCAAAATCTTGGGGACGGAGGAAAAAAAATCCAACTTTTTCTGTAGGAATCTTTTCCATAGACTCAGTAATAGTCTCATTCACTGAGCATAGAATCTTCAGCAAATTTACAACGTGAAAGTCTTGTAGTGCAGGACCACCTCTTGATGATGGCCCATCGAAATAGAAAATTAGGTCCAAAGTTGTTCAAGTTCATGATCATATTGGTGGACTGTGGACCACTAGAATGCTTCATTCTTTTCTTAATTTTCTTCCATCTATTGGTTTTTACAATGCAGATTATGTCAATAAAATTTCCTTTTTATTATTTATTTGTTCTTGGGGGTTTTGAGTGACTTTTTATGTTTGCAACCTAGATGAAACTGGAGGTTTCTAAGAATTCCCAGTTTAATGTACCTGCAAGCGATATGTAGAAAAGAGCTGAATCTTCAGCGGTTTAACGTACAGACAGTTCTCTCCGTTTATTACCTGGCCATGAATAGGGAATCATGGTAAGCTCTGCTTATCATCAACTTATGAGACAAGTTTAGCTCCTTTGATGCAGCTTCCATCGCCTCAATTATTGATTCATCCGAAAGGGCTGGTGGATCCTGATTAACAATTTTAAAGTCTGAAAGCTTGACGCCACGCTTTTTGGCTATAGATAAAGCAGATTGATGGATTTTCTCAATCACATTGTTTCTTCGATTTTCATCAATGTCTCGTGTATCTGCAACCCACAGAACAAATTACAGAAAAACTCGGAACAAAAGAGTCCCAGAACAAATATATTACAAACTAAAATTCTACTTGAAATTTTTATTAAAAAATAGCAGCATACCTATTTCCAGGTGCGACTTGCTAGGTATGCTGTTGACTGCCCCGGGATGCAGCTCCAGAATGCCTTATAAGAGAATGTTTTGTATGTAGTAAAAAAGAGAATGAAGGTAAAAAGGCAAAAAGGATATGATTAATTATATTGGTTTCAAACAAAATGGAGTTTTCCATGGACACTAAGAATACATGTGGATACGAGGAAAAAAACTGGCTTACCAACTGTACCAACAGTATCAATCGATCCAGATTCTAGCACATGTTTCTCCACAGCTAGTGCCAACTCTGCAGCAGCCAGTCCCGCATCATGCCTGCTCAAAGAGATTTACATGACTGTGGGCTATGGAGAGAAATAGAGAGAGAGAGTACAAAAATAATCACTTCCAATGTAAGGAAATCTACTTATAAAGAAGGGAGGCAAAATGTCAGCAAATCTGAATGAGAGCCATATATGTAAACAACCTCAAGGAAAAAGCAAAGAAATTTCAAAAAAAATAAATAAATTGAAAGAAAGGACCTCAAATAAGTATGTTGCACACACTGAAAGTGCATAATCAAATTACATATAATTTTTTAAGAAGATATGACGAATAAATTGATATAACGCAACTTGTGCTACTAGGAACAGTCACCTATTTGGCATCAAAACAGCCCCTGCATGGCCTCCATTGCCTTCAAAATCCACCTTGATGCTTGCTGGAGCAGCAATTGCAGTCACAACACCGATTGAAATACCTGGATTGAAAAATGAACCACAAAGAACAAGCAATAAAAGAAAAAATTAGTAGTAAGTTCTTCAAAAATTGTTAGTAAACAAGTAATAGCATAATTAAAACAGCAGCCTACCTTCTTCCTCGAGAATAGGACCTTGCTCTATATGCAACTCCACAAAAGCAGAGTAACTTCCTTTCTTAACAAAAACACTGGACAAGTCCTCTCCACCTTTTGCATAACCAGCAGACATTGCAGCATCAAGAAAGGATGTATTTTGATTATCAACTGTTTGCTTGAGAACCTTTTCAAGTTCCTCATTTCCTGCCATCAAGCGGCTGCAATATTTCAGATAAAAACTGTGAGAACCTTCAAGATATAGACTTAAAATTTGTCCGTGCATCCTTTGCAAGACATAATCAGCTGAAATAAAATAAAGCGAAAAAAGCAAATTCAATTTTGAAATCAGAAAGAGCAAGTCTGGAGAGAAATACACAAGAAATTAACCACAATAACTAGTATATGTGCATAGTAAGTGATTATATTGCAACTATGAGATGTCTAACCTTCCCAAGCAGCTGATCCCAAAACGTGTAGGCTCCTCTGAGGTGAACATGATCACTTCCAATGATCTTTTAGGCTTAAATCCAAACCTGTGAAAAGCCCAATCGGCATAATATAAGCAGTAATATGATCCAAAAGAAACATTTAGATGAATGCAAAAGCAGATTCTTTTCTCACATAGAATTTGATTAAAAATTCTGAAGTAGAAAAGTATACTGTGGCCATCTGAAGAACCATCGACTGAACAAATTCTAAAGGCCTGCCTATGTAAAATTGGCTACCAAACCCTTCTCAACATCAGCTATATCAAGGGCTATATCCCCTTTCTGATCATGCAGGCTATGTGCTTTCTCATTCACCTGAACCCATGTTATTTCTTGGCTTTTCCCCTGTCCTAATAACAGCTTCCTTGAAAATCAGATTACTGCTTATTACTAGTGAAATCACTGGTTGCACATATAGAGAAAAGAAAAAGGAAAAATACCATCTTGTCCCTTATTGATACAAAGCCTTAACAGAATGTTATTAGAAAGACTTTGGCTCCATTTGGTAGAGCTTTGGAACTTTAATTCCACCTCTTGGTTTGCACGTGGTGTTTGTTTACAGGTTTCAAAAATTGATTCCACACTCACTTTGAAAACACGTCTACCCGGTCATCCTCCCGGGAGTCCCCCCGATTGACCGGAACAGTGTTCGTATTGCACCTGTTACTTTTATATTTTAAATAAAAAATATTTTTGAAATTTTTTTTAAATTTTTTATGAGCTTTGAAAAGAATTTTGGGTAGTGTGTTTGGTTATGAGTTGTAAATTTTTGAATCAAATATCATACGTCATATCACTGAATTCAAACTCAATTCAAAACTCTTTTCAAAACTCATAACCAAACAAATTTTCCACACTCAAATCATAATTTCAAAACTCACAAACTCAAAATACAACTCTATTCTCAAATCATAATTCTGAAGCTGTACCAAACGCAACCTTTGATCTCCTAATTTATAATTTCTCATATAGCCAATGTCCATCTTGATATCCTCAATCCAACTACACAGATTATATGGATACCTCGGTTTTCTTTTATGGTTCTTGTTTGTAAAGAATTAAATAAAACTTTATGTACCAGTTTTTAACGGTGTGTAAAAGACAAAATTCTAATGTTTTTTTTTTTTTATATTTTAGTTTTACGTCATTGAGTGCTTAAAAGAATATAAGACATACAGAATGGATAGTTATGAAGATCCTCCAATGACTATGTTGACAAAATTAGCAGTGGACTTCAGGTTATTCGCTTGGATGCTAGGTTAGTTCTTCTATTTCAAACAACATGTTTTACAACAGTAAGACTACTTGCAAACCTTTTCAATACATTGATGGCTTCTATTGCACCCAAAACACCAACAACTCCATCATACTTCCCAGAATAAGGAATTGCATCAATATGAGAACCTGTTGCAACTGCAGCTAGCTCTGGTTCATAGCCCTCCCTGCATAGAAGCAGATAAGACAAAAGGGGTTGAGCACTAATAAATAAGTTCAGATAAAATCAGCACAACAAAATGAAGAAAAAGTTTAAAATGTTCGAAGTATTAAAGTGACTCAAACAGAATGGAAAAAGTTATCTGTTGACTCAAAACTGCATGAAATATATACAGAATCTAAAGATTCGGGATTGAGAAACTTCAGATTTCAAAGAACTAATCAATAAGGATAAAAATCTTAAAATGCAGTCATGTACAATATAAAATAACAAATAGAAGATAATCAATGACACAACATATCATCCTTCGATTAACTTGAGCCCATTAAATTAATTGGGACCAATCAAACCCCAGTCAAAAAATCCAAAATTAATCAGTGTGTTTGGTTTTCAATTTTTTAAAAATTGAGTTTTTTGTTTTTTGTATTTTTTTTGTTTTTAGTGAATATTTTTAAAATTTTAAGCAATTTTTTTTTTTAATTTTTTTAGATGCACCTTACTTAGATGTATTTAAAAAGTAAAATATTTGTAAAAAATTAATAAATACACAAAAATACAAAAAATATACTGAATTTTTATTTTTATTTTTTGTATTTTTGGTATTTATTGAATTTTTTTTTAAAAAAAATTCACAAATATTATACTTTTTAAGCATATTTATATTAGGTGCGTCTAAAAATTAAAAAAATTGCTTAAAATATTAAAAAAATTCAGTGAAAACAAAAAATACAAAAAATAAAAATGTATAATTTTCTGAAAAGTATTTTCTAAAAATCAAAACCAAGCAAAGTGAATGGGTCTGGAGAAATTATCGCCACATGGGCCCAAATGAATTCTATTGAATGGGCCCACAAGGAAGTCAACAAATTGGGCTGAAGAGGACCCACCAAGCATATATCTCTAAAGAGAGCCCAACAAGCACATCTGAGGGGGGTTAGATCATACGGGCATCCGAGAGAATTAATCGGTGCACACTCTTGAAGAAAGAGATCATTCTCAGAAGAGGTGAAACCCTCAGAGGAGATCCATTCTCTGAGGTAATTGCTTTGTCTTGAAAAGGTTCAAATCCACAAACCCAGAGGCTTATTTAGCTTAGACTCGAAAAGGTTCTAAGTAAACCTAGAGATCTGATGCATTGGTTTTGAATGGATTCAAACGCAATCTAGAAGTCGCTCCGTTAATGAGTTCCAAAATACTTGCGGGCTTGGAGTTTTCTGGGATCGACGCACCAGAACCATGGGCATGACGGAATCCAAACAAAGGACTTGATCCCGAGGACGGCGAGTGGAGATAAATTCACTTTTCGGTTAAACTAGCCTATACCTGAGTCAAGGTCACACGAGGGTTTCTGACTCGGCAATATTCGTAACAAGGCGTTCTTTTGAACTATCCATGACCCTTCTAATGCAAGGCGTCCTCTGGGACTACCCCTAACCCTTTGGAATGATTGGAAATCATTAGTTAGGCGTGGCTAAGAAGGAGGGTTCGCCGAGAGGTTGATCTCCTCTTTGGGATTTTTCTCACTCTTTAAAAGGTCATCTTCTCGGACAAAGTGGTGAGAGAGAATATTCCTCATGTGCCTTGCACATAGACTCCATCCTACATTATGAGGTGCCTATAAATAGAACCCACTCATAACTTTATAAGGAGATTGATTTTTTGAGAGATTATTCTGGGAAGAAAACTAATTTCCCTTATCCATTATTTTCATTAAGAGTGAAAGTGGAAAATCCATGAGAGAGCCTTACCATTATTCTCTCTTTAACTACTTTGTCTTCATCTTCACCCAATTTTTTATCTCCATTATCTCTTTCCTACTATGTTTCTAGTTGCAACCGTTGAAGAATCTAAGCCTCTCTACACATTTCTAGATAATTCGGATTTTCCGACCATCTTAAAAGATTTTCAAACTTTCCAGCAGATCTTCGAATTTTCCAGCAAGCCTTCGAATTTTCTGGCAACCTTCCCGAACCCCTACACACACTTTGAAACATAATCACACAAAAGAAAAGTAGTATTACACAATAAATAAACAAAACAAAAGGCATCATCAAAATAAATAAAGAGCAAACATATAAGTTGACATTTTCTAGCAAATGATACAATAGAATAAATTCATATCATATATTATCACTGAAAACAACCCTATATAATCTCAGCCATCCAATAAGAAACAAAATATTAAGAGATGAACTCACCACCGACCAAATATATTACCAACAACATCCTCTCTAACAGAGAGACCAGCAAGTCCCATTATGTTTTTGATATACCTGCAATCAAATATGACCAAAGAATGACCAGAAGTTCAACCAAAAAATGACATGGCTAAGCAACATAATGGCACAAAATATCGTGATTGAATAGATCATGTGTAATTCAACTTGACCAATGTTTGTTGGAAATCCATGCATGTATGAAATTAATAACAATAAACCTCATAAATATTGTAAGCAATTGGGTAGAATACACCAAAGAAATTGCAGAGGGCACTAAGAAATTAAAACTAAGGTAATATGACAAGGCCAAAAATCCCACAATGTTAGCTATACCAATCCTTCTCTCCAGTCCCATCGTTCTTCTTCTTTTTTTAAATGAAAAAAAGAAAAAAAAGAAAAGAAAATCGCTCAACAAAAGCAAATCACTCTCTCTCTCTCTCTCTCAGAGTACTGTTTTTGTTTTTTGCCTTCTATTTTCCCAATCATCATCATAGGCATATAGCGTGTGTTTGGGAAGCAAGTTTCAGGCTAAATTAGCCACTACAAGACAAAAGAAGCATAATTAGTCAAATGAAGACAAAAATTTGAGTTCTGCTTGGCAACAATCAATGCCTAGCTAAATTATGGGTTGGATGTGATGTTTTGTTTGTTGTGGCTAAAATAGCCTATTTTGTCTTCTATGACTAAAATAGCCAAAAAAGTCCACACCAATCATCATCATAGGCATATAGCGTGTGTTTGGGAAGCAAGTTTCAGGCTAAATTAGCCACTACAAGACAAAAGAAGCATAATTAGTCAAATGAAGACAAAAATTTGAGTTCTGCTTGGCAACAATCAATGCCTAGCTAAATTTACGAAATTACCCCACATGATTTGTAGGGGCATCGCCTCAGCACATGAAAAGTAAAAAAAAAAAACTTTTCCCAAAAAAAAACGTTTTCCCAGGAAAAAACTTAATATACAGTTGAAAAAAAAAATTAAAAACATTTTTTTGTTCTTTGTTAAAATATTTTATAAAAATAAATTCAAACTCTATTTACAAAAATATTTTTAAATATATTTTTTTTTGTTATGTATTTGGTTATGATTTGAGTGTAGAGTTGTGAAAGTAGTATGGAGTTTCGAGTTATGTGTTTGGTTATGAGTTTTAAAAATAATTTATAAAAATAAATTCAAACTCTGTTTATAAAAATATTTTTAAATATTTTATTTTTTTTGTTATGTATTTGGTTATGATTTGAGTGTAGAGTTGTGAAAGTAATATGAAGTTTCGAGTTATGTGTTTGGTTATGAGTTTTAAAAATAATTTTTTAATTGAGTTTCAGTTTATGTGTTTGGTTACGATTTGAGTGTAGAGTTGTTTTTAAATTTAAAATATTAACATTTTAAATTATTTCAATTATTTGAATATTTAGAGTGTAGAGTTGTTTTTAAATTTAAAATATTAACATTTTAAATTATTTAAATTTTTTGAATATTTAAATTATTTAAATTTTTTTGTTAAAATAATTTTTTGAATATTTAAATTATTTAAATTTTTACGCTTTAAATTTTTTGAATATTTATTTTAAATTTTTGCTTATTAAATTTTTTAGATTATTTACATTATTTAAATATTTAAAATAAAATTACAATTAAAATTAAAATTAAAATTAAATTAAAATTAAATATTTAAAATTAAATTATTTAAATTATACAGGACAATAAAATAAAACCTTACTTTTTATCATTTCACAGAAAATGAAAAAAAAAATAAAAATAAAAAACAAATAAAAAAACCATTTGCTAAAAAAAAAAAACAACTTAAAATACATAAATTATTTTTAAAAAAATACTCCTCATTCAAAAATATTTAAAAATATTTAAAAATTACAAAAACGTAAATTCCAAAAAAAAAAGAACAACAAAAATACACCTCATCCAAAAAGAAAGAAAAAAAAAAAGAAATTACCATGTGCCATGTAATTTACAAATAAATAAAATACATGAAAATCTATTTTTAAAATATAAAAACAAATTAATGTGTACAAATTAAAGAATGACAAAAACGTAAATTAAAAAAAAATAACGAGAAAAATACGCCTCATTCAAAAACATTTTTAAAAAAAACATAAAAACATGAATTACCATTTGCGACATAATTTAGAAATAAATAAAACACATGAAAACTCATTTTTGAAAAATAAAAAAAAAATTATTGTATACAAATAAAAATAAAAAAAGAAAAATAACATAAATTAAAGAACAAGAACTAATTAATGTATAAAAAAAGAAAAATGACAAAAAAAATAAATTAAAAAAAAAAAATAAAAAAAGCCAAATCCAAACCCAACAGGGAAAAAAAAAAAAAAAATCAATTGTGGTCCACGCCATCAACTGACGTGGAGGAGTAGAACCAATTCCTTCACATGTATTAATTATGTGAAGGGCAGTTTGGTAATTTATCATGAAGATACATCACCAAAAAGCTAAAAAGTCAAAAAAGTCAAAAAGTCCTTTCCAAACTAGGTTTTTTAGCCCCAGGCTAAAATAGTCAAAAAAACCAAAAAGTCAAAAAGCTAACCCACTTCCCAAACGGAGGCATAATCAGGTGACAGTACACAAAACAGATAATTCCTTCCGAATACCTCCTCGCCAATACATCCTTCTCACTGTACAGGATCCTTGTCACTGATGGAGCAGGTGTATCCGAGAATGTTGACAGCTCATCAATCTATAATGTTAAAACAGATTAGAAAATCAGCTTGTAATAATAAACAAAACAACAACACAAGCACAGGTAGTTCTTGTAGCATACGCAATTGCATAAGAACATAATTGCTAGGTTACCATGGCAAGGGGCATCTGTGTGATAGCCTTGTTCCGTATTATGCTAATTAATCTTAATTACGATTGTGATTATGTGTTTAATATGATTTTGTGTGCCATTTATATGAATATATGTGGTTTTGAATTTCTATCTGTTCACCGTAGGAATATCTGTTCAACTTACTGTTATAAATTGAAAATTGAAGGCCTTATCGGCCACAGAAGCCGAAATTGACTACGCCATTGTGATTGACATAATTTTTAAAGCCTATGGTGAAATTTAATTGAAAATTGATTCGGATCAAAATAATTTGATTCAGAATGATTAATTAGGGCGCTATTATCAACCTTAATCAATTTGATTAAGTGGGAGACTATAAAAAGGGGCATTACACTCACATTCACTTAGTTTTGAGCCATTTCACTCATTTTGGCTGAGATTAGCTCTCTAGAGAGAGAGAGAGGGCCGAATTTAGTGAGAGAGAGGGGCCAACATTGAAGAATTGCTAGAGAATTCAAGAAACTAAAGGGATTAGCTCAAGAATTAGTTATAATTGGAAGAATTGAAGTTCCTAGGTGAGTAATCAACTCTTAATTCATGAGTTGAGTATGTAATTTTGTGAATTCAAGTGGTATGGTAGTTCAAGGCAAAGATTGAGTTGAATATAAAGTTAGAATGCGCATGCATGCATGAAATTCTATGAATCACCATGAATTGTTATGAAATTTGCATAAGCTAACATAAATGATGTTGAACATGGAGAATTGGGCACCAATCTTCACATGCATGCATAATTTTCACGGGTTTCATAATAATGAATGTCATTTGTAACATTTGAAATAGAAATGAAGTCAAAAATTGACATGCATGTTTGATTAATGGAGATATGGAGCTTATATGAGATTTGCATGCATGAGTTTTGACTATACAAAAGAAATGAAGAAATATTTTGAGGATTTGACCATGATTTTGAATAATTAACCTCATATTGCATACATCCTTATACTATACATTGTGTTTCCACGTTTTTGGACAAAAAACATTAAAGTTGGGCCTTTGAATATCAAGGTTGCACTTGAAGAACAGTTCTGGAAAACCTAGAATACGGCATGTTCGTTCGAGCGGGGAAAGCGCCGCTCGAACGTGAAATGCGAGCTTCCAGAACTTTTTGCAGACATGGATGTCCGCTCGAGCGGGGAGATTCACGCTCGAGCGGGGAGCCATGTAGTTTGACTTTCTGCTCGAGCGCTCGAATTCACGCTCAAGTGTAAAAATGAGGCAACCAGTACTTTTGCAGATCTAATGGGCCCGCTCGAGCGGGAAAGCCCACGCTCGAGTTGGGAGCCCTCTTCCTGAAATTTTGAAAAGATGTTATGTGATCATTTTTCCGTTCTCTTCCATCTCTAAGCACCCTTATGCATGCATTAAGTGTTATAAATGAATTAAAAAGGGATAAGAATGAAGCCTAAGAGGGATGTATGAATTAAGAACAGATTGATCGTTTGTGACCCACATATGTGTTATGTATTGTGTAGGGTCAAGCTCAAAGGCAAATCCTCCAGTAGATCACTGTGAGCTATGAAGCATGGACACGCCAAAATGGAAGCCGTGGGGGTGTCGGATACGGGGACACGCCGGGGACACGGGGACACGCCGGAGACACGTACGGGACACGACATCTGGCGTGTCCCCTTAATTTAATTTATTTTTTTATAGGGGATACGGAAGAGACACTGCGGGGACACGCGTGTCCAAATCTGGACACGCCATGGACACAACGACACAGCGACAAGAGTAAAATGAAAGGAAAAACGAGTACAAACCTGATCAGCGACGATCCAGAGCCCCATTTGACTTCGACGAGCTCTGTCTCTCGCCTTTGCTTTCTCAGATCTCTCTCTCTCTCTCGCCCCTTTGTAAATAAAAATAAACCAAACTCTCGCCTTTTTTCTCTCCCTCGCGATCGCGATCCTCTCTCTCCATCGCGATCGCGATCGCGATCGCCTCCCTCTCTCGCGCTTCTGTCTTGCTTCCGTCTGCCTCCCTCGGTTCTCTCCCGTCTTTATCTTCTCCTCTTTTGATTCATCATATATTATATAATAACTATTATTATTAATATAAATACTCATATATATTATATAATAACTATTATTATTAATATATTAACTTATTATTATATAATAATACCATATATATTAGTTATTATTATATATTATAACTATTATTATTTATATAATAATACTCATATATAATAACTATTATTATTATATATTATAAACTATTATATAATAGTTTATTAATAAACATAAGTATAAAGATAATATATACTTATAACATATTAATAAATGAAAAAAAATAAGCACATGTATGAAAATAAAATAAAACAATTAATTGGAACACATTATTAAAAAATATAATAAATAAATAAAATAATTAATATGTATAAAATAAAAAATATTTATAAAAAAAATTAAAAAATTTGCCGTGTCCCCTGCCGTGTCCGGTCCCTCATTTTTTTAGAAATTGCCGTTGGCCGCGTGTCGTGGTCCATGTCCGTGTCCGTATGCGTTGTCCGTGTCGTGTCCCGTGCTTCATAGCACTGTGAGTATTATCTTAAAAAGATATTTGAAGTATGTTATTTGTCCAATTGCTATTTCCATACAATTCCTATAAGCTTGTTACTTTGAATCGTTTAATTTGAATGTGGACAAATGTTTGCTATGTCCAATATGGTGCAATGGACGACAAAGGCCGTTGGACATGAATGAATGGGCCAAAAGGCCGTTACGAATAAATGAATGGGCCAAAGGCCGTTGGACATGAATGAGTGGGCCAAAGGCCGTTGGAGATGAATGAATGGCCGAGGCCGTTGATGAATGAATGGGCCAAAGGCCGTTGGACATAAATGAAGTGGGTCAAAGGCCGTTGGATATGAATGAATGGGCCAAAGGCCGTTGGACATAAATGAATGGGCCAAAGGCCGTTTGACATGAATGATTAGGCTAAAGGCCGTTTGACATACATGAATGAATTGGGCTCGAGGCCATTTGCTAAGGAATGAAGTGGGCCAGAGGCCGTATGACATGTTCAGGCTTGAATCGCCTAATGTACCAAAATAATACACTAAATAGAATTTTACATGGGCCAAAGGCCGTTTGATATATGTGAATCTCATTTGCGTACTATCTTTATTTGATGTTATTCACTGGGCATTTGCTCACGCTCATTCATGTGTATGTAGGTGAGCAAAGAGATGTCCAAACTCAGCCCCAGTGACTTATGTAAGAAGCAGCTACAGTTTTTAAGGAGTCAGCCCATATGTCTCACGCACGAGACTAGTTTTCGCCCTCTTGTTCCCTTATTGTATTTTTGCTATGTCGGCGAAAACTTTGAATCACTTTTGTACATGAGTTTTGTTTGGATGACTGTATAATTGAAGTTCCTAGATATGGATTAACTCTATGTATATATGTGAGTTATTATAAAATGTTTTGAATCGATTTTATTATGCCATGTAAGCACAGTTCTATGGACAAAGTTTTAAATTTGCTTCCGTTTGGCCCTTTACTCTAATGAGTTAGGTCTTGTTTGGTTTGAGGCCATAGGTAATCCCTTGATTACTGGCCAGTTATGTCCTTAACCATAGGGGCGGGTTCGGGTCATGACAATCTGAATGTTGTTAGGGCTGAATGAGCAATTTAATAAATCACCGCTGATACATTAAAAAGGTCCATTTAATCTCAATGAATTTGAATAGCTCCATTCCTTTTTACTGAACACTTTGAAATAAAATTTCATCATCTTGGGTGGAAAATAGTAGCCATAACAAATTCGATGTTTAAAATTTTGAGATTTATCATCACCAAAGTAGCTGAAAAAAACTGATCGAAGAAGTTTTTGTTTTTGTTTTTTGACTTGGAGAAGAAAAAATATGGTGAAATACCTTAATTTTCTTAGTAGCACCAATCAAGATGATGGAATTCTTCCAAAATTAAAATGCTATCCAAATTGAAAACTGAACCATTCAAAAAATACATTAAGGAAATCACAATAAAACCCATTCATAAGCATCCATGGAAAAATAATTGGTGTGAAAATGAAGTAATTCAGATTTCAGAGACTCCAATATCACCCTGTATTAGTAAAGTGTAGACTAATTAAAATACCATATAAAACAAAATGGATTCGATCAATTTCCAAAACCAAACAAAACATCCAGTTCACGAATCATTGGCACAACCAAACCCATATCACAATCAAACTCAAATAGTTCAATCGCTAAAACAATCTTTCCGACAAAACCCAGTTCAAAGAATCCACAGAGAGAGAGAGAGAGAGAGAGAGAAGCAAAGACAAAGATATAGAAAATTTGTATCAATACCTGTTTCTGCAAACTTTGGGTATCCACTGATAGTGAAGATAGTGGATTTTGGGAGTGGGTTTCGTGAATTGGGTACCCAGAGAAATCCTCCATAGTTTTGGTTGTTGGGTCTTCTCCATCTTTGTGAGCTATGATTTCAGGGAGGCAACAGAAGACGAATAGAGGAAAAAGAAAGAGAAGAGAGAAATTCAGATACATCTTATTCAATCTGCTATGTTGTTGGTGTTCTACGGTATGAGGCTGTTTCTGTTGTCCCATCCATGTGAGAGATATATATAAATTAATCATATCTAACTTTTATCCATATATCGAACTTTTATCCATTGAAGATCTCTCAAGATTTTTATTAAATAAATAATTAAATATTTGACGTGGAACAGAAACATAAAAGTATACATTTCATATTTTATTCCTATGAGAAAACATAAAAGTATACATTTCATATTTTATTCCTATGAGAAATTTAATTATTTATTTAATAAAAAAATTAATATTCTTAACATTAATCTGTATTTATGAATGAATGGTAGTATGATAGTAGTGGAAGTCCTCTCTCAAAAAGAGACAAATGCTCAGGACATGTTTGGTAATCATTTAATTTTTAGTTTTTAATTTATATTTATAAAAATTAAAAAAATTATCATAAAATTTGTGGAGTGCACCTTTTATTTATTTATTTTTATTTATTTATTTTTTATTCATATATTCTATCTAAGAGATCGTATAGGTCTGCTGTTGAGAGTTGGTCGTAAAAGTCATCTCCATCCCCCATGGCTGGTTCATCGTGCCATTGACTATCTTGGTCATCTATTATTGGTGACTCATGGGAGACGCTATGTTGATAGTTGGGATATTGACCTTTATTGACAAATGTCTCTTTGTTGAAGGGATATCCTAAGATGGCTAAGTTACAATATATCTTCTGGTTTCTATCTTCACAGACTAGTCGTCCATAATTTCCATTATATGATAATAGAGGATTGTTGGCAAATTTTCTCCATTTATTAAGCTGTTCTCTGAGTGGAAATCTTCTGCATGGCCAGGGTCTTCGATTGAGAAGTCCTGGAAATCCTGAGAATGTTGAGGTTCCTCTGAGATACATTTTATGTTTAGCTGAATTGCACCATATTCCCTTCCACTCTGGTGATCTGCTATCAATTATTGCTTCTACATATGGGTTATGATCTTCCATTACACAAAGTATTCCATGAGCTAGTTTATTTCCGAAGCTATCTGTTTGATCTGGATCTGAAAAAATTATTCTGGAGACAAAACCGTAATCTAACAATTGTGAGGCTATTAGATAACACGTTTTGCCCCTAATCTCTATTTCCAATGGCTCGAATGTAGCTAGATTTATCTAGTAAATGCAAATGCTGAAGTCTAAGTTACACTGACATCTACCAAAATGTTCTGACCTCTTGTTGCACTTTTCTTCTTCTAAATAGGGCTGCTCTTCATCTTCATAGGTATAGGTCCATTGGTAGGCTAAGCCAGGGCAATCAACTCCTGCTATAGAGAGGTCTTGAAGAAACTGCTGTATGGTGATTAACTCGTTATTTCTGTTATCTTCGGCTAAGGTGTATATATGGGGTTTGAGGTCTTCTATTTCTTGGCTTTTCTCACAAAAAGATCGAATGATAGAATGTCTGAAGAAATACATTCTAGCACTTAATTGGTCAAATTCCTCATTGGTGAGTTGTCTGATTTCTAAGTTAGGAAAGTGGGTAGTTGTTTTTCTTGGAGCTAATTTTTTAAGCTAGTTGGTTAGGTTTCGAATAGTTACTCTCAATTATTTTTCTTCGTCTCGGAGCTGGTCTGGCTCTTCACTGACCTTTTTGCCTTTATCCATAATTTTCTTGAAATTTCTGGTAAGGCCTTCACAATGTCTGCACATCTGGATGGGATTTTGTGAATCTATCTGAGGGTCAGAACTACTGCTTCCAATTATCTGGCTAACTGGAACTCCACTAGTAGCAAGAATGGTTGACCTCATCTTGCTTAATGTGTCCAGGTAATCTTTAGCTATCTGACTGATAAAATAGCTGGTTCCTATTTGTCTTCGGGCATAAAATCCTTTAAACTAGGATATGGGAAAATTTTTAACTAAGGGTTCTACTTCTATTCAGTCATGGTAAATACCAGGCTTGGTTCCTTTAGCTACTACATAGAAAGAAAAACTTTTAGACAAAGGTTTATTTTAGATTTTTGAAAAATATATACTAAGAGTGTTTAAGGTTGACAGGCATTTAGCTGGGTGGCTATGGCTATTCCAAAGGTTATCTAAAAGACACTGTTGGACTGGGTCTAGGTCTATTCCTGTTAATGGTCTAAACTTGTTTCTGCCTTCATGAATGGGAAGAGCGAATCCCTCAAAGTTTATGGTTTTGCTGTTCTTCATTATCTGCACAAAAATTAAACTGGTTATTTTCTTTTTCTAAATAAATTTTCCTACTTAACTAATCTGTTAACCTATTATCACTCCCTTTAATATGTTCAAACTCTACTTTATATCCTTGTCCTACTATACAGTCTAAAAATTTTGCCTATCTTCTAGTACTCAATTTACGCTTGTTAAGTTTATTATGAAATCTAACTATAGCTTCACAATTTGTTCTAATAGTAAAAGGTTTGTACAAAAATAATCTAAATTTATTTATTGCATATACTACTCCTAGTATTTCAAAATCTAGGCTGGTCATTGCTGTGTCTTTTTTTTTTTTAAATTTTCCAGAACTATATTTACAAATGTGTTCTTTATTTTTACTATCATACTTACTAGGTTTAGCTAATAATATTGTTCCCCATCCTAATTGACTTGCGTCTGTTTCTACGACTATATATTCTGATTCTAAGGGAAGTTGTAGGTCTGGTAAATTTCTACAAATGTCTTTAATTTTTCTAACTAGAGCTATATCTTGTTGATTAAAATATTTTTGTCCTGTGGATGTGGTCATATTGTATAGAGGTCCTATTATCTTACTAAGGTTAGGAATATACATTCGTGCATAATTTAAGATTCCTAAAAAAGATTGAAGTTGTTTTGTATCTTCTAATTTATCTGGATATTCTAGAATTTTCTTGACTATATGAGGTTGTAACCTAATTTTTCCATCTAAAAGTTCTATATGTGGCTTATTTAATACCATCTTTTTCTTGCTAATTATTATTCCATTGTTTATGAATTTTTCTAATGCTAAATATAAATGATCTATGTGACTATTTTTATCTAGGCTGAATATTAATATGTCATCTATGTATATCAATATAAAACTATATTTATTAAATATGCTATCCATTTTACGCTAAAATATGGAAGGTGCATTTTTTAGTCCAAATGGCATGACTAGCCACTCATAATGTCCCTGTGGGCAATAAAAGGTTGTCCAAGATATGCTTTCCTTTTCCATTTTTATCTGCCAAAATCCTGACTTACAATCAAATTTGCTAAATATCTTAGCTGTTTGTATTCTGTTTATAAGCTGATCTTTATCTGGTATATTGTATTTATCATCTTCTGTATTGTCATTTAATCTTTTATAATTTATAACCATTCTAACTTTTCCTTTTTTTATCTCTGCATGATTTCTAACCATAAATACAGCGCTTCTATGCGGACTATTACTAGGTCTAATTACTCCTAAATCTAGTAACTCCTTAATCTGTGTTCTAAATTCTTTTATATCTGCTGGCGTATGATCTATTTGTGCTGAGGTAATCCTGTAATCTTTATTTTTTATATCTAAGCTGGCTAAATTTTTTTTTCTTTCCCAATATTTCATGAGCTGTTCTCCTAAAATTTATGTTGTTTCGGCTAATCTTATTATTTCATTTAAATCATTTTCCGTTCTTCTGTACACTGGTTTTTTTCTTTAATTTTTCTATTTTTGCAAAAATTAATTCTAGGTTAACTGTTTGTTGAAAATCTTCTAAATTCCAATAGTCTCATTTTTCTTCAAAATCTTCTAGATCTTCATAATTTTCTATGTCTAAATTTTCTAAAGAAGTATTTGCTATCTCATCAGGTATATATTTTTGGGCTAGCTCGGGAAAAATATTTCTACTAGGAAATAAAAAACTAGCGGGGACTGAATCTACTCCTAGGATACCACCATGCTTCGCACGTAACTCTGATGAATGAGCGATGGTGCTAAGGGCATATGTTGTGGGTGTATGTACAGTTCGCTTGAAGAAACTAATGTTGTGTTGGCTGATAAACATGCCGCCCTGTAAACTAAGTATGAAATTAAGTCCTAAGATGAAAGGATGATTCTGTCGGGTATTTCCAATCCAAACTTGAGGTAAAGGGAACCAGTCTATATGCTGATCTTGAGAACCTAGATGATGAAAACTAATCTGTGCTCCATTGATGCAAATGTGTATGTCTGTTTAGTGCCATCGGCTATACAAACTAAAGCTGGGGTTGCTAAAGCTATGCTCTATCCCGGTGGAACTACTTGTTGTTCAATATATGATTTACTGGCTCCTGTATCTATCATGGCATCTATACTAAGGGTCTTTTCTGCAAATTTGATTACACAAGAGATCTCAACTAAATTTGGTTTGGGTATAACCGGGTAATTAAATGGTAAATATATATTATCTGGTTGTGTTTAAGAATATTGACTAAAGGGTTGAGAATCAACTAGGTTGACTAATTCTAAAGAATTCATATGTTCTTCAATCAGTTTATCTTTTAAAGGGTACTTATTGTGAAATTGTTCTAGCTGCTGTTTAAGTTGTCTATTTTCTAGTTCTAAACATCCTATGTCAAACCTAGTCTTAGTTTCTATCTCGTGTATTTGTAACTTGACTTTCCTTACTTGTAATTCTAAATCTCTAATTGTTAAATGTAATTCTCTGCTTTCTAGACTATGATCTTCTCTGGTATTTGCTAATGTTATCTTATGTGTCATGTTTAATTTTTCAAGACAGACTATACAATAGGTTATACTGCATAATAAACATTGAGCTCTCTTATCTTTGGCTGGAAACCAATTACAATAGCTGCATCTAGTGGTATCAAATCCTAGTCCTATTTGAAAATTATGCTTACATTCAGTATCTGCATTACATTTCATCATAAAGAAAGTATCTTGGGAAGGAGTTAGTCCTATTTCCTAGTTGAGTTGTCCTAAAAGATTATTTATATCTGTATCACTTTCTGAATTACTATCTGAACTTATGGCTTCTATTTGATATTCATAATCACTGACTATGCTATAGACTTCTGAATCGTCGTTATTTATGCTAACTATATCTTCTTCTAAATCTTCTATAA